TGGAGCTGCACATACTCCCCGATGCGATCGGCAGCCTCGGGGGAGAGCCCCTTCTCTGCCACCATCTCACTCCTCACTTCTTCCCATGGTATCTGTAGGGCACGGAATGGCATAAATTGCTGCAGGATGTTCTCCTCACCCACTGCCTCCACCAGCCCACATGGGCACAACTTGTGTGGGACAACAGTCAGCAATCTCACTAACCATGACCCTCTCTCTCTCACAGGAATTTTTAACAAATCACCAGGCTTTATTCTTAACCAGGTCCAAGAACTCCTCAAATCCGTTACATGTGAGCTGCTGTAAAACTCTTCTCAACAAGAACAGCCACAACACTGCCCAGCCTAACACATCCATCCCAAGACCAGAAGTGTCTCCCCATGAGCCCAGTGCTGACCTTGTCCAGCTTGTCTATGGTACAGCAGGCAGGGATGAACTGGCTCTCTGGAACACCACAGACATCAAACACACCATTCAAAATCCGACGGTCGTTGACCTGGGGGAAGGAGAGGCATGCTTACCTTGGGGGCACCCTCTGATGTAATTTCTTTTTTTCCCCAATGTGTGGGAAGTTGCAGCTGTTGGCATTTCCTCATGCCTTTCCCCCAGCATCCAAATTCCATGGGAAGAGATGGTGTAGAGGCATGAAAACCATCCTGTGACTATATGGACCTAGTCAGCTACTGGAATTCTGCAGACTGTGGTTAGTCCTGGAGAGAACTCTGCTGACTGCAGCCTCAAGAGAACTCCTGGTATTCCCAGCTAAGGCATGTCCAAGCTGAGGTCCAGCCTTTGCATATACACCATGAGGAGGCAGAGATGTGGGCTGAACTTCTGGGTCAGGTCTTAGAGTGGGAGCAGGTGCCACTGTGTAAAAGCACAGAACAATGACCACTGCTTCCCAGCATGGCACAGAGACCCCAGCCAGTCTCACCTTGATGACAAAGTCCCCCAGCTGCAGGTCACTGAGGATCTCGTGCACGATCTTCAGGCACTCGGCGTCGGGAATCATGGGGTCAAACTGCCCGGCAATGTCAAAGTCCTGAGGGCAGAAGAAATGATGGGAGCTCCTGGCAGAGCCAGGGGGCCTTAGCCAGGCACACCCTGCTGCTCTGCAGCAGCTGGAGTGGCAAAACCCTGCTGGCCCTGTGGCCTTGGTGGCAGCAGTGGCACCACAACACTCACGCACTGGTAGAACTCGCGGTAGCGGCCGCGCGTGGTGGCTGGGTTGTCCCTCCTGTACACCTTGGCCACGTGGTAGCGCTTCATCTTGGTGATCTTGTTCATGGCCAGGTAGCGAGCAAAGGGCACCTGGACCCCAGGAGTTAAGGATGGGAACATGGAGATCCCCAGAGCTGTAGAAGCTGAACCCCAAAGCCACCCATCT